TAGACAGCGATAGTGACAGTGAAGAAGTTCAGATACTAGAGCCCCACAATATTCAAACAATAATTGCTCAAGTTAAGGTTCAGATTCAGTTCAATTATATTCAATATTGAACTTTTAAGTCAAGTTTATATTTAGTTCAGGTTCAGTATTGAATTTTTAAATCAGGTTCATATTCAGTTCAGGTTCAGTTCAAAGTTCATGAATATGTTTAAAGTTCATGAACATGTTTAAAGTTTATGAACATTTTCATGTTTAGTAGTAGTTTAGTAGCAAAATATAGTAAAAATTTTTTTGTCTTTAGAATTTTCAAATTTGGAATTTTTTAAAGAAATCTTTTTTCTTTACTAAGTAAAACTATTTTTAATTTTAAAGCAAGTTGTAGAGAAATATCTTGCAATTAGAATAGCAGTTAAAATGTTAAAATCTGCCTAGTAGATTGTGAAATATAAGTATTTTAGTTCTCACAACTATATATTTTCTTCTTTATATAGATAAAGAGAAACAAATAGCTGTTAAGACAAAAATACCTATATTTCATGATTTACTAGGCCGATTTTAATGATTTAACCACTATTTTGATTGCAAGACATTTTTCTACAACTTTGATTAGAAGTTAAAGAGAGAGTTACATAGTAAAAATTTAAAATCAATAACATTTTACATAATTTTATTAATAAAATTATAAAAAATATCATAATCCTCAAAATTTTACTAATTAATTATATCTTCATGTTTTAAGTAAACTTGTTCTACATATAAATCTACACCATATTGACATATGTTTACATTATTATTTTTATATTAATACGTCTAGATGAACTTTGGTATTAATAATCACATTTACTATTTTTAAAATTTCACAATTAATATAGATATAAAAGTATATATTATCTTTTTACTAAAATAAATTAATATCGATATATATATATATACTATATATATTCTATTAATATTTTTTAAAATTTTAATTTTGATTCTAAATTACAGTAAATTAACTTTGGATATTATAAAAATATTAAAAAAAATAAAATTTGCTTAAATCAAAATAATATATTATTTTATCTTTTTTTAAACAAATCATTTCAAAAATAAATTATAATTAAAAGTAAAGTTTGTATATAGAATCCTGGAATCTTTGCCCTGAAAATCACGTTATAGGACATAGTAAATCATATGTTCTATAACTGCATAACGTGATTTTCAAGACAAAAACCTTCATTTATCAACAATTTAAAAAATAAATATTTTAATTTAAACAAATTATATACAGTATACATTTATATATACACAATAAGCTAATTAATTATAATATTATTTGAATTATAAACTGCCTTTCGTATTTTAAAAAATGCCAAAATACGTAATTTTATTATATTAAATGCTTTATATTAATGCGTATAATGATTTAGAGTCAGGAAGTAAAAAGTGTTAAAAGCGTTTATACAGTATGTAGTAATTATAGTATTTAAAGAATTATTTATATATTACAATTAATTAGAACAATATATAAAAGTGCTCCTTTATACAGTATAATAAAATAGTTGTAATTATAAAACACTTAAAAAGTATATATATAAATAATATATGAAATTTTTTTTATTACAATATTAAAAACCTGAATTTGTAAAATCGTTAAAAGTTTGTAACATCCTATAATAGTTTATGACAATAAGAAAACATCAAATTTTAATACTCTTACGATAAATATATTATACAAAACCCTTTCAACGGCCGTAGAAAATCAGCCGCGCGCAGATCATACTTTAAACGATATCCAAAATGGTCAACTTGATATTATTCGCGATACTTTGGCCTTAGAAAAATATCAAACTAGTAGATTAAACCTTGAT